GATCACTGGCTAGGTTGGTATAGATAATAGAGTTGCCTAGACTTTCTCCAAGGTAGGCCAAGGTAGAGATTGGGCAATATCTAATATATCCTGCCATACCTGGATTAATGGTCTAGGCCAAGTGGAAAGGTCAATATTTGAGACAGCCACTTGACATTCTAAGGTAGACCTTGATGGTTCGTGGGGTTTGTCCATCCTGTTGGGTTGAGGACCCTGGGAAGTAGGACGGAGGGTAATTTGCAGGTTGGGCTTGTTCTGCTCCTTGAAGTTCTGTGGATAAAATTGATGAACTCCTACAAGAAAAATGGAACTGATTTGGTCCAGCCTCTGTTAGTCAAATTAATCAGAGTGTCTGATAGAGTAGTACACTCATGGGGAAATTGCCAGAAGTCAAGATGATGCAGAAATGAGAAATGGATATTGGTTGGAAGTTATTGCTACAGGTCTCTCACTTTTCTCAAATTTCTGCATGACGCATGAGCTAGAACCATGAATGCCTTTGTCCTGGACTGTCTTTCCAAAGATGTTTGCAGAACCAAAAGCCTTAGAAGATAGAGCTGTCTCCCTCTGGAGCAAAGTGCAGGTGTTCTTCCAACCTTGGTAGACAGAGATAGTGTCTGCCTTTAGAGCAAAGGGCAGGCATGCTTTACTTTCCAGTATGAAAGATTTCAATTCTCTAAGCTCTTCTCCCTCTTTCCCTTTCTCTTTTTAATGCAACCCACTGCGCATGCAGGAGTCTCTTGACCCTCTTTTGTCTTGTCCTGGGGGAATTGGGGCTCAGGGAACTGCAAGATGGTGCTGGTACTCTGGCTGCTTCTACTGCTGTCCTAAGCTCCTTTGTCTCTGAGGAATGCTGTGTCTTCTGCTAGCATCCATGAAACTGAGGTCAGCTAAGTTGTCAGCTTCCAAACAGGGTAAGAGCTCAGATTCTTCCCAGTTCCTGACAAGATGTTCGTGTTTCTTTAACACAGTGAATTCTGTTTCTTAGAACTTATCCTAAAGGAAACAATAGAATTAAGACTAACTTAGCCATTAATCCTTTTAATATGCTGCTGGATTCAGTTTACTAGTACAGTTGACCCTCAAACAACACAGGTTTGAACCACACAGGTCCACTTATATGTGGATTTTTTTGGGGGGTGGGATATAGTACAGTACTGTATATGTATTTTCCTGAGGATTTTCTTAATATTTTCTTTTCTCTAGCTTACTTTATTCTAAGAATATAGTATATAATACATATAACATATGAAATATGTATTCGTCAACTGTTTATGTTGTTGGTAAGGCTTCTGATGAGAGTAAGCTATTAGTAGTTAAGGTTTGGGGAGTCGATAGTCATACATGGATTTTTGACTGTGTAGGGAGTTGGTGCCCCTATCTAACCCTTGCATTGTTCAAGGGTCAACTGTACTTTGCTGAGGAGTTTTGCATCAATATTCATAAAGGATATTGCTCTGTAGTTTTGTTTTCTTGCAGTGTCTTTGTCTGGCTTTGATGTTAACGTAATGTTGGCCTCAATGAGTTAAGAAGTGCTCCCTCTTCTTCAATTTTTTGGAAGAATTCGAGGATTGGTTTTAGTTCTTTCTTTCTGTTTATTTTTTAACAGCTTATTATTTATTTAGTAATCTCTACACCCAATGTGGGGCTGGAGCTCATGACCCTGAGATCAAAAGTTGCATGCTCTTCTGACTGAGCCAGCTGGGTGCCCTGGTGTTAGTTCTTCTTTAAATGTTTGATAGAATTCACCAGTGGAGCCCCCAGGTCCAGTGCTTTCCTTTGTTAGGGGGGTTTTGATTACTCATTATGGGTTTTGATTACTAGTTACGGGTCTATTCGGATTTTCTATTTCTTCATGATTCAGTCTTGGTAGTTCATGTTTCTAGGAATCTGTCCACTTCATCTAGGTTGTCCGATGTGTTCACAGACAATCGTGTTGGTTTGCAAATGTGGGAGCTCCCCAGGTGAAATCTGAAACTGGCCCCCATACATGGAGGACAAGGAGAGACTGAAGAAAGACGCAGACCTTCCCAGATTGTAGGTGACAGTTTTAATAAGCAAGGCCACTTACATATGAGGCTCGTCTCGAGTGGCCACAAGACAAGTAAATCTCTGCACGTGTCCACCAGAATCTTAAGAGCTCATATAGAAATCTTAACGGGGTTCAGTCACATATACTGCCCAGATGGTCTTAATAATATATTACTCTCTCAAGCTGTGTCTTTGAAGTAGCTCCTAGTGTAGCAACAGTGGGCAGAACGTACATTCCAAGGATGGGGGGAAGCAGCGGGGGAGGGAAGGAGCCTCTGATTGCCTGGGTCCAGCTCATGGGTCAACCGGCAATCACATGCTCTTGGTGACCTCCTCTAACAAATTGTTCATAGTACTCTTATAATCCTTTTTATTTCTGTAGAATCAGTAGTGATGTCTCCACTTTCATTTCTGATTTTGGTAATTTGAGTCTTCCCTTTTTTTCTCACTCAAGCTAAAGGTTTGTCAATTTTGTTGGTCTTTTTGAAGAAACAACTTTTGTTTTCATTGCTCTTCTCTATTGTTTCTCTATTCTCTATTTTATTTCTCTCTGCTCTAATCTTTATTATTTCCTCGCTCCTGTTACCTTGGGTTTAGTTTGTTCTTCTTTTTCTAGTTCCTTAAGATGTAAAATTCGGTTGTTGATTTGAAATCCTTCTTTTTAAAATTTTTATTTTATTTTTTTAGATAAACTCTAAGCCCAGTGTGGAGCTTGATTTCATGACCCCAAGATTAAGAGTCACCTGCTCTACAAATTGAGCCAGTCAGGTGCCTGCTTTTTTTTTTTTTTGTAAAGATTTTATTTATTTGACAGACAGAGACACAGCGAGAGAGGGAACACAAGCAGGGGGAGTGGGAGAGGGAGAAGCAGACTCCCCGCTGAGCAGGGAGCCTCATGCGGGACTCGATCCCAGGACCCCGGGACCATGACCTGAGCTGAAGGCAGATGCTTAACGACTGAGCCACCCAGGCGCCCACCTGCCTTCTTCTTTTTTAATGTAAGTGTTTATAGCTATACATTTCCCTCTTGCACTGCTTTCACTGCATCGTACAAGTTTGGGTATGTTTTGTTATTGTTTTCATTTGTAGACATTTTCTAATTTCCTTTGTGATTTTAATCCATCAGTTGTTCAAAAATGTGTGGTTTAATTTTCACATATTTTTGAATTTTCCTTCTGCTACTTATTTCTAGTTTCATTCCATTCTGATTGAAAAAGATACTTCATATGATTTCAATCTTTTAAAAATTTATCACGACTGGGCGCCTGGGTGGCTCAGTTGGTTAGGCGACTGCCTTCGGCTCAGGTCATGATCCCGGAGTCCTGGGATCGAGTCCCACATCGGGCTCCCGGCTCATCGGAGAGCCTGCTTCTCCCTCTGACCCTATCCCCTCTCATGCTGTTTCTCTCTCTCTCTCTCTCTCAAATAAATAAATAAATAAAATCTTTAAAAAAAAAAATTTATCACGACTTGTTTTGTGGCCTAACATGTTATCTATCCTGGAGAATGTCTTTGCCTTTTTTCCTGTCAGGCACACTGTGGCTTGGCACCGTTCTCCCCTGGTAACCCAGATTCTAGCAATAAAGCCATGGGCTGGCAGGAATGCTGTCTGCAGAGCTGGAGAGCCCCTCAAAAGCCTCAAACCCAGTCACCTCTCATCTTAGAGGTGAGAAAACTGAGGCTCAGAGGATCAGAGGCTTCACCCATGGGCCACAGGCCCTGTACACTAAACCACTGCAACTTCCCTTCTGTGGCATCAGCAATGATCACACAGAAACAAAAACTTCCACCCTAGGTTCAGTCAACAAATGTTTGCCGAGCATCTAAACATGAGTTAAACCCTCAAATGAGTCCATGTGTGCAGGGCCCATCTACTCTAAGGCAGACCTGAACATTTTGATTTTAGGCAGTGAGAGGTATAGAGAATCAAATCCTTTCTGGTGTGTTAGTGCCCATTTCATAAATGCACCAACTTGTTATCTAAGCTGGCTTCTGTATTAGGTTGGCTACATGCTCCTTTTACAAACCACAGGCACAAAAGTTGTGGACACTGAAGGCCAGACAGAAAAGCTCACTGTATCTGCAGGGCTGGATTCTGTGAAAAATAAGTACAAAGGGGGCTTTTACATGAAGCGAAAAGTCTGTGGCTCAGAGAGGCTAAGGGGGTTAACACAGAGGGATGGCCAGGCAGTTCCAACCAGGTTTTTCTCCCCAGGTGGCTGTCCAGGAGCACCCCGGCCCTGACATGGGATTGGTTCATGCAATTCAGCTGTTGGGCCAGGGAAGGAATGAGCTGCCTTCTCTGACCGGGCACAGTAAGGGTAGAACCAGAGGACCCCACTCCCACCTCCAACACTGTGGCCGACTGTGGAGGTTTGAGACTTCACAGTTGGGACTCTTGTTTTAGAAAATATGTATTTATTTGAGAGAGAGAGAGCAAGCAGGGGGAAGGGCAGAGAGAGAGGGGGAGAGAGAGAATCTCAAGCAGCCTCTCTGCTGAGCACGGAGCCCAACTCAGGGCTGGATGTCATGACCTTGAGATCATGACCCTGAGATCATGACCTCAGCTGAAACCAAGAGTCAGTCACTCAACCGACTGAGTCACCCAGGTGCTCTCAGCACAGGTGGGACTTTTGCTGTGTGATGCAAGGAACAGAGCCCACATAGGCTCCCTGGCCCATCTAGTCTGTGCCTCACCACTGTCCTGTGACATAAAGCAGAAGAGGGGATATGGTCCCACTTTACAGATGTGGAAGCCAAGGTGCAGAGAGGTGAGTAACCTGCTATGTCAGTCAGGCAATCAGTGCTCAATCAGAGAGGCAGAATCAACAGGGAATGCAGATATATTTATATATACAAGAGATACATACATACACATATATATATATACACACACACACACACACGCATATATATATAAAGATACAAAGAGATTTAGTGCAAGGAATTGCCTTACATGATGATGGGGGCTGGTTAGCCAAGCCTAAAATCCAGATGGGACAGGCCACCAGGAATGGCAGGCTGAGACTCGGGGGGCACAGACTGATGGTCTGCTCTCTCTATAAATCTCTATTGCTACATCATACCATGGACTACCATGGCCCCCTTTAACACTGCAAATAGTCATGAGTGCCTTTAAATGAAACAAATTAGAGAAGAATTCCAGAAAACCTAGCACCAATGCAGAAAACTCATCCTGAAGATTAGAAGCAGAACAGTAGGATATATATTAAGAGATTTATTGCAAGGCATTGATTTAAGTGATTGTGGGGGCTGGAGAGACAAGTCTGAAATCTGTAGGGCAGGTGATCAGGAAAAACAAATGGGATCTCTCAGGCACATAGGGGTGGGGGAAGCTGCTATCCACAGGCAGAATTTCTTCTTCATCGGGGAAGCCTCAGCTCTCCTCCTGAGGGCCTTTTGACTGATTGAATCAGGCCTACCTGGATTATCTAGAATAATCTCACTTGCTTAGTTGACTGGTTATGGACTTTAATCACATCTACAAAATACCTTCATAGCAACACCCAGATCAGCGTCTGATTGAATATGTTGGGACAGAGCCATGTTGACACATCCAGTGACTGTCTCCCCTGCCCACAGCCACCCAATAGCTCAATGACTCTGGATCAGCCTCAGCTTCCCCTACTTGCACATACGCTCCCACCCTTACCCTCAGGTTGCCGACGGTCTAAACAGAGGAAGAGAGGAACCTCAGAACTAGGGCATCCCATGTGTCTAAGTGCAAATCCACCTGCACCATCAGTGCCTGAGATTTTTTTTTTTAATGGAGGTAAAATTCACATGACATAGATTTAGCCGTTTTAAAGTATACAATTCAGTGGCATTTCACATGGGTACTTTCACAGTGTTGTGTAACCATCACTTCTGTGTAGGCCCAAAACATTTCATCAGCCAGGAAGGAAACCTCATACCCACTGCAGTTACTCTTCAATCTACCCTCCCCGCCTGGAACATTTTTAAACCAACAGTGTTATCAGGACATCATCAGGGGGAACTTGGGCTTTTGTAAAGCCTGATGTACTTGCAGAGGTGCCCTCCTTGGCGGGCAGGGGCTAAAATCCAGCTACTCTTTCACAACATTGGGGCTGTAGTTGGGTTTGACGGCTTCAGCGAGCTCCTGAGCGTACATCTCATATCTGCCGGTCATCTGAAAGCAAAACACAGGCAGATTCCGGTTTACTCACCACCACCTCTTGCCACTAGAGGGCAGCCATGGGACAGAAATTTGTCAGGAAGGCCAGCGGGAGGACAGGACAGTTTCAGACTATAACGTAGAGGAACAACCCCCGTGTGGCCATTGGGTACTGATTCTAGCGCTATAGCAAAGATCACAGATGCTGAGATGACTCACACACACTGGCCCCTCTTGCTGGAAGACCTCTGTGACCTGTCCTTCCAGAAGGTGTGGCCTGCCCCGAGGTAGAAGGGAAGAAGGCTGTCCTGAGGTCTTGCAGAACCCCAGAAGAACAGTCTACAGCCCAGAGAGGGGAGTGACCTGCTCCAGGTCTCCAGGCAGTAGTGGAATTTGCTGGGATTTGCACCCTGGACTCCTGGTTCTGGGTCTGGGGGAGAGTGGGGGCAGGGCTGGCAAACCTACCCAGGGTGCTCACACCCAGGCATTCCCTCCCTCCTTCCCAAAACCCCGACAGGAGCTCAGGCCCATCACCATAGTTTGGGGCGGGGTGGGGCTTTTGCATTCAAAAAGTTACCGATGAGAAAACATTCTGTTTATTGTGTGGAATCTTGCATTAATCTCAGCTTCCCAGGAAGAGGAGAGCCAAGCCAGGAGACGTTCATGTGCAATGCCTTATTTGTCTGATGAGGATCTGAGACTCAGCGAACATGCCCAAAGACCCATGCTCAGGTAAACGGGGGAGGTGATTCCTCCAGGACACGCTGGGCAAAGTCATGCAATCATGAGGACATTCATTTGCAGGTATAAGTGGGTTCTGAGTTGGTAGAAATACTGCTGGACACGAATGCAGCAAACTCCATCTGCATCCAGGATAAGAGGGCATATTCCAGGGGGCCAATGGCTGCCACCACCCCATTCCAGGAGGGTGGGCACTTCCGCTCCTCCCAGGACCCCTGGTGTCACATGTGTTAGGTCTCAAAGGCCACTTGAGACCTTCCAGTTTTACAAACAGGCATACTAAGGCCTGGGAGCAGAAAGGGCTTGCTTAGGGTGACTGAGAAAGGCCGTGGCAGAGACGGGCCTAGATTCCATTTCTATGTGTGACCCATTTCCCTCTCCTGTCAAGGCCTAGACCATGGGGCCAGGCCACAGGCAGAGCCAGACACCCACATTCATCTTGTGATAAGTGCAAATGCCTGGAAAGGAAAAAAAGGATTAGAGAAGCCGATCCATTCTATTCTCCGTTCAAATGAAATTGAGATTAATTTGTTTGAAGGCGCCCAGAATCTAAATCAGACAAGAGGAGAATTTATTAAGGTCTGCTGCTTGGGCATCATTTGACCCAGTGGCTCCTCCCTCGCACACCAGCTCTGGGAGGAAAAGACCGGGTCCTCTGCTCGGCTTGGAGCCTCATCTGGCCGCTCCTGAGAGCAACCCCAGCAGCTGTGGTTTCCAGCTCTGAGAGCAGTATAGGGGTCCAAACAGAGGAGCGGGGCAACAGCAGTGGACTCAGGGACCCACCTTGAAGTTCCAGATGTCATTCACCTGCCGGCAGAGGTTCAGGTCGAGCTCAGCAACCAGCAGCCCGTCCCGGGTGCGGGAGAGCCCGGGAGTGCGGCTGCTATCCGGGGCTGCCACGTAGCTCGAGCCGTAAAAGTAGCCAAAGTCCTGGTGAGCTTTGGAGGAGCAAAAGAAAGCATCCGTGAGCTTGTGCAGGCAGAGAGGTAGGCATATCGAGCGACACCCAGGACAAAGTGTCCGTGCCACCCTCCTCACCCTCCCGGCATCCCCGTGCCACCTCCTCAAACAACCTGCCTCCCTCCTCAGGCCTGAGGCTGAGCAAGTTCCTACAAAAGTCACCCTCACAGCCCTCACCTCTGCCCCGGAACATTCTTTTTTTTTTTTTT